ACAAGGACATCCAAGAACTGGGGAAGAAAAAGCAGCTCGTGTCTGAGAAGCACTTTGTTCTCCAGGTGCTCCAATGCCAGCAGCACTGCTTCTCAGCACTCCATGACTGCCCCAGCCTGATAAACCTCTCAATATATGAAGCTTTATAACAACATACCCCCAAACTTCATTCCAGCTGAGGTGTGAGTGTTCCCAGTTTGCAAACTCTATTTTATGGTGTGTGCAGAATAAACTTTTACTACTTACTAGTTGTTTATCAATTAATTGATCTTAATTCTGATGTTTCTGAACTGTGGATGAACATGAATGATGATCATGGTGGTCATGAATGGAATTCAAAGAAGAAAACTCCAAGGCCAGCGAGCAAACAGGTGTTGCTACCCACAGAATCCACGGAGCGCACTGCTTTCTCAAGGACCCTGGAATTGGAGGGTAAGGTTAAAACAGTACTCAACCAGTGTCAATGTCGGGGCAGGCCATCGTCTATGCAAGGTCACTTAGGCTCAGGGTGCACCTACAGTAGGGTTTATTTCACAAAAGGATTTTGGGGAAACAAGAGTGTCGAAGGCCACAAGTGGTCAACTATCTCACCCCAGATAGTGTCTGCTGTGTCCAGTAGTCCCAAACAAAGGCTGCTCATGCAAGGTGGCACTGTCCTGTCAATGAGGTCAACGAGGGTCTGGAGCTGGTGGCACACCAGTTAGTGCACCAGGGTCCAACTCACAGCACCAGCTAGGGGTACTCATAGGATGGGCTTTTGAGGTGACACCACAGCAGCCACAATAAACATCTGAAGGCTGGGTTAGACAGTACAGGAAGTGAGTCCAGACAGTAATAGAGGTACAGCACCAGGAGGCAGTGCTGGATGATCAGCTGGACAGCTTTCAAAGGTGACCAGACCACAGAGACCACAGACACCAGTCACCTGTCAGCAGTGCTGGTCAGTACTGGCAGTCGTGACTGTCAGCACAGGTCACCAGGAGGCAGTGTCAGAGACACCAGTGGCCAGGTCTCTGTGAAGTTCTATGGTGGTCTGGAGGCCTGCAGATCTGTGGAGGTCTGTTGAGTCCCTGGGAGGTCATCTGCTCAAGGCCTCTTTGGAGGCCTTCTGCTGGATCCTGTTCTCTTTAGAGGCCAGCTGCTAAGTGAGTCCCAAGCTGGCTCCTGCCCTGCTTATAGCCTCTTCTGGGTCCCCCACCATGTAAGTCTGATTGGACTGTTTTCCCATCCTGTTTTCAATTTGAATAATTGTTCAAGACCTTGAGTGACAGTTGGAGGTCTTGAACCTGACTGGTCTATTTATAATCCAGGTGCCAGATTTAAAAGAGAAAACCCAGCACCTGCACAGACTACCACCCTCCCTGCCCCCCCGACCCCCCCTCTCAGGGGGGGTTACTCTCTCAGGCCAGGGCAGGTCCATGGGCTGGTGACTCCCACTGGCCTTCAAGGGGCCTCTGTGGGACCTGAGGCACACTGCACCCAGTGCTCTGTCAGAGTGGCTGGGGGTAAGAATGCGTGGGGTGAGGGTGGGGGGACAGAATGCCGGCAGGTGTTGGGCTCAGTCTACACCTCAGCCCAGATGAAGCCTGCATGCCCTACTGCTCAGGTGGTGGGGAAAAGCTAGTCATGCCTGTGGCTTGCACCCTGGGGATCTGGTTTCAAGGTCTCCCCGGGATCTGCACTCCAGTCTTTGCATGTTGACTGTATTGTGCATACCTGTGCTTTACTTGTTAAAATTTGTTGTTAAGTCCCTCTTCTTTTATGCTTTTATTATGTGCAAAAGGGAAGCAGGGGACATATCACTCCCTGGGTTTTAGAATAGTCGCTGGAAAACAGAGCACCCTGTAGTTGAAGTCTTTCGGAATTAAAGGCAAAGAAGGGTTCCAGTTGCTCTAAAACTTTCTCCACCTGCCTCAGAAAACTCCTGCTTCCTTTATCTTATACCCACTAATGAACAAGGATTTTGGGCCTTTTTAGAAAATGGGTGAAAATTTGGATAATTTTCTGGGAAAATTACACTACACTCTGGGAAGTGTAGTGGTGACTTTGGAGAAACTAACTTAGATAAGTCCACCTTATGCTTCAGTAACCCCATTTCTGAGTACCCATGAAATGAAAATACTAACTCAAAAAGACTTATGTTCTCTGCAGCACTATTCACAATAGCTGAGATACAGAAGCAACTCAAGCACCCCATGACTGAGGAGTGGACAAAGATGGACTATCAGTTCCCTGAAAAAGGTGAAATCTTGCCTTTTGCAACATGTACAAAACTTGAAGGGACTATGCTAAGTGAATTAAGTCTGGTAGAGCAAGATGAATATAATATGATTTTACTCATTTGTGGAATATAAAAAAATTACCCCCTTTAGACTCTAACAAAGAATGGTAGTTTCCACAGGGAATGGCGGGGGAGGGCGTGAGTAGAAAGTGTGCTGATGGGTGCATGGTGCTCAGTCACTTAGTGGTGAGCATGGTGAGAAAATGTAACCTTGGAACATATACAGTGTTGTAAATTAATGTTACTTCAATAAAAAGTTTTTAATATCAAATTATAGTGGTACAAAATTATATTTTCTCTGCTCAAAGAAAATTTTCCTAGATTAATGACCTGATTAGTCAACTTTTTTATTCATAATTTTCAGTCTTTTGAGGGGGCTCAAATAATTTTGAATGGGCTCCTTTTTACAAATACACAGATGATGCAATGCTGCCAGCGCTGGGTGCAGTCCTGGGCCCCAAGTCACCACGCTCCTGAGCAAGGGGTCCTGTGATGGCAGAGCTTCTCATCTCACCTTTTCTGTTTACTCTGCCCCCAGCATTAGCTTCAAAATAAATCTGCCATCTTTCCACAGCATGATTTTCGTTGAGGAATGACCACTGCCGGATGTGCCTTCTTCCTGAGCTCCAGTTTGCCTTCATGGCTGTAGCCTTCACCACTTCACTGCCAGCAGCAGGAAGTCTGATGAGCCCTTATGGGGCCCCTTCCAGAGAGGATGTGCAGATTCCTGGCTCCTGTGTGCTCAGCACAGTGGATCACAACTCCTCCCGGAAGAGCCAAGGAAACTGTCATTTCTTGCCAGAAGCCCTGCCACATCCTCAATGGAATCCTGGAAAGGGACAGAAAGGTCTTCTCACTTGTAGTGACCTCGCTTTAAAAAAATTATTTGTTAAAAATGCTTTCTTACACCGCTGTTCATTTTTGTACAATATTTGATTTTTCCCCTGAGGTATAATCCTGTTACAGGGCAGGGAGAGGGGCACCCCAGACCCCACAAACCTGCCTGCTCTAAAGATTCTGCCATCTGCCGCATCAACACAAAAACATGAGACTTTAATGAAAAGGAACTCTAATGCAATTAGTAAACAATACAGGAAAGGCAAAGAATATAGTTTCTAAATCAAGTACCCACAGTTACCCGTCCCCTCATCGGTAAAAGTCCAGCCAAATGGGGTTGGCCCAGGGCAAGGCCCCAAAGCCTGCCACAGGTCTAAAGCACCTTCCAGTGGGGACCCACAGAAAAGGATCAGAAACAACCAGACAAGTCTGGGAGGAAAAGAGCAAAATCAAAATCAAGACAAAAACCACCATTGTCTCCTCCCCACGGGTCTCTCACCCACATCTGTGTCACCCAGCCCACGACCAAAAGGCGAGTGCCGTTTCTTCACGCGTCTCTCTGCTCCACGTGCCTCCTCCAGGTCTCCTTCTGGCTCTCATTCCTGCTTCCTTCCTTCTCAGTCCCTTCTGCAGCTTCTCTTCTCTTTAGCTCCACCCTCCTTACGGTGGGGAAGGGAATTTGGAAGTTCCCCTTTTCTTGGGGGCCACCCTGTTATAGTCCCTGTAGTTCTCCCACCACCACTGTACCCCTGATTCATCACCATCGTCCCTTGTGCTCTTCCCTTCCTCCCTTGTTTTGACCCTCTCCACCACCTCCTCTGCTCTATGCCTCAGGTCTATTTCAGGACCTGTTCTTTTTTTTTTTAAAAGATTTATTTATTTATGCATACAAGAACTGGGGTACAGGCCAGAGGTGTGGGGAATGAGAGGATTCACCAGAGACAGAATGGGGAGCAAAACAGGCAGACCAACCGAAATACACTGCTGAAGGGAGCAGCGGGTGAGACAGGCGAGGTCTGCTGCGCCATGTGGATCACCTCCCACATGGCCCAGGATGGAACTCATGCTGCAGTGGCTGTAGATAGCTTCATAGGTTGCATCTTAACCCTTGTGCCACCAGGGAGGGCCCACAGGACCTGCTCTTAATACAAATTATAAGATTTTTACCTTTCAAGTAATCTGCTTAGGAAACAAAGATTTTTTTCTTATGTGAACAAATTTCCTGTGTTGTTCGTCTTTTATCACTATCTTCAAATACTTAAAAAAAGGAATCTTTTCAATATTCAAACTATGAATACCTGAAATTTATGTATCGTTATAATGCAATATCACTTCAGTAGAAATAAAAGCGTAGTGTAACTTCCTGGCTTTGTCTTTGAAATCTTTTGTTAATTTAGTTGAATGGATAACTATTGTTTCATAGTGACCAATGATCCTGTTTGATTCTGTTTTTAAACCTTTGACATTTGTAACAAACTTCCCCAAATCAAATTTTGAATGACGCAAAAAGAGAAACATTAGGTTATTAGATATGTTAAATAACATTACCTTGTCAAATAAAAAGTGATGCCAGGGCTTCCCCGGTGGCGCAGCGGTTGAGCGCGGGGTTGCGAAGCTGCCCGCAGCCTCTGCAGTGCCGGTTCGATCCCTGGCTGCTCCCCGGCCACCAGAGGAGGGTCCCACATGGCGCGCAGACCTCTCAGCCCCGCGCTGCTCCCCTCAGCAGCGTACTTCGGTCCTTCTGCCTGTTCTGCATCCTGCTCTGACTCTGGTGAATTCTCTCACCCTCCCACGCTTCTGACTGTACCCAGTGCTTGTATGAATAAATAAATAAATAAATAAATCTTAAAAAAAATAAAAAAAATAAAAAAAATAGTGATGCCAAGCCTTCTTTAGTTTATATAAATGTTATTTTAAAAAAATTACTTTATTCTGAACAGGAAAGTAGCATCAACCACCAGGAGTGTTCCCCCTCTCTCAGTTTTTTGGGAGATGTGTCTTCTATCTGGTCTGGTCTGTCCCATCGTCAGCATTGGTACAAGGCAGACATGGCACTGACCGGTGTGGCTGAAAGTCCAAGATCCAGATCCAGGACAGCATCTAGGCAGCTGCAATTGGGGAGGTGAGACTCACTCCCGTGTGAGGTGAGCACATGTGCTGACTCAGGGCATGGAGCCACTCCTCTAGAACTTGAGAAAATGAATGTGATTTGTCCACATTTCACAGCGTGGTTTTCATTGTGAATGGCCACTGCTGGATATACCTTCTGCCTGAGCTCAGGAAGTTGCTTTTATGTAAAAATCCATTCTCTAGCTCCTTTCACTGAAACATCTGATTGCATAATCTTGCAGAGCTACTAGCTGCCTTAGCCTCAAGTCTACAATAAAAGCAAGGAGGAAACTACAGATTTCTGTGGTTGTCATGTCAGGGTCCACTCAAGGGATGCAGGGGCAGGTGGGCATCCAGGGAACTGCCATGCTGTCTGTACCTAAAACTCCACTAACTGCCCTGAGCTCTGAAATGGTCAGCTGGCCACTTGTACATCCTCTAGAAGGTTTCTCCCACAAACAGTTGCATGGTCTTCACATTCTTTTTGTGCAAGCGTGAAGCCATGGTAAATCCCAGCAGGCAGGATTATCTATGTCTCCATCCCCATGAAACTCAGCATCCACTTGTTCCCCTCATCTCTTACATCAAAGTCCCCACTGTCATCTAAGATAGAGTGAGCTCTGCATCCAGGTGACGTTCGTCCTCATAAAACATCTTAATCTTGTCTTCATAATTTGGTAGTTTGTCCTTGCTTATGGCTAGCAGCTCTCTCTTTTTGAATCTTTTCTAATTCTGGATTGTTCTCATGTTTGTCAGGGTCCAGCTTCAGGTGTTCACCTGAGACATCTTCGTCCATTTTTCTGCTGTACTTGGTGACAAAGCTACACGGAATAATTGTCTCTCATGGCCACCTCTCACCTCCTGCTCTCTCCTTACTCCACCCCAAGAAAGCTTCAGGTCTCTTTACTATGTTACTAACATAAGTATTCCAGAAATGATATGAAATTCCTAAAAATCTGGTGCATGGTTATAATAAGTTGTAATTCTAGTTATTATTTTAAAAGTATGTCATGAAAACAACCAAATTACCTTGTCAATTGCACTATAACGAACTCTCACCAGATCTTTAACCATTACTGCTTTTAAGTCACTAGGTAGAACATTCCCCATGAAGACCACGGTGGTAAGAGCATGCTCCTCACATCTCCTACACACACAGAGTGACACTGTCCACAGCAGGGAACACCAGCCTCCCAGATTCAAGCAGAAGCCCCTGAGAGAATGCAAGGACCTGAGGGTTCTGATTAAGCCCTGACTCAGCCTGGCCACGGGAATCAGGATCTTTACCTCCAAGACCTCAGTGATGAAACACCACCACCATTTCCCACTCCCTCCCCTCCGCGGCCTGGTGCCCAGGGCTCAGGTTCACTGGCAGAGAAGATGCAAGTGGGCAGGATGTTGCAGTGGAGGATGGAGAAGAGTTTAGTAATAAGAGACTGACCAACTTCCTTGTTGGCTCTTGTGCAGCACCCTTTGTGTGAACCAGGCCTGGGTGTGGTGCCTGGTACAGAAGGGCCCTGCTTAAGCCAGGGGGCCTGGCCCTGGGTGCCAGCTCTGTGGGGTGGCACAGGAGGCAGTCTCTGGAGACTCAAGGTCCACCTGGAAGGCCCTGGGGTTGCTGGGTCCCGGCGGACAATGACCACACCCCACCTTTCCCCTCTGTTTCCTCCCAGACGCCCAGAAACTACACGGGAGACAGAGTTGCAGGCGACAGAGTCTGGCATGATGCGCGCTAAGAGGGCAGCAGGCCGTGAGTTCGCAGCTCTAGCAGCGGGGACAGCGTGTAGCGCAAGCGGCGGATGGAGGCCTCCAAACTGAGAGGCGAGAGTCCTCGGTGGAAGACATCGGGGTTCACCAGCACCAGGTAGAGCAACGGCAGCGCTAGGAAGCCGAGCGGGAGCAACAGGAGCACCTGCAGCGCGCCCAGCGCCCAGAGCCTACGGACCGACCCACCAACCCTCAGATGAGCGGGGGCCGGGTAGGGCGAAGGGACCGAGCCCAGCGAGCCCACCACCAGCCACCTGCATCACCTGATGCCCGCCATGCCCGCGCCGCGGAACAACCGCTTCTCCTGCAGGGAGAGTGAGCTTCAGCTCCGCGCCGAGGGGCCGCGGAAGGGAACCCAGAGCCGCAGGGGACTGTCCCCTCGGTTTCCGGTCCCCATAGGGGAAGGTAAGTCCGGGGTATCTCATCCCGGGGAGGTTCCCTAGTGAAGATGTGGATCCCGGTCTCTGTGGGTGTGCGTGTTCCGCGCGGGTGGGTGGGTCCTAACTGCAGCCCGCCCGGGGCCTCGCTCACACAGTCTGCCTTGGCCACCTCCTCCATAAGCGATCCCGCGCAGTCCTGCACCCGGCGAGGCTGTGAGTCCCACCTGAGAGGACAGACATGGAGATGGGAGATCTGCACCAGCCCCAGTCGTCCTGCCACACCCAACTGTCCTAAGTCCCTTACTGTTCCGGGCCGCCCCGCGAGGCATCCAGCGCAGCTGCTGCCTCCATCACCTTCCCTTGTAGCTCCTGGAGGTGGTGGGAGTGAGCCCTCAGGAGACTTGGTGGTAGGCAGGCCATTGCAGCTCTGGCAGGGGAAAGGGTGGGGGCCCCCGTGGAATCTTAGGTGACTCTCAAGGACAGAGGGGGGCGGCACCTGCAGGACTCCGCTCTGTTCCTGGAAGCTGGCCCAGGCCTCCTCGGTCTGCTGCGCACCCTGGGTGAGGGAGCCAGGATTAGACTAGCGGGACACACCCCCCTCTCCCAACTCCTGCGCCGGCCCAGGTTCCACTCGCACCCAAAGCCAATGACCCACCTTCAGCCGCGGTTCCACCCGTACCTGCCGAAGACTCTTCGCCTGCATGGCGTGCTTGGCCTCCACAAGTTCCAGTTGTTTCTTTCGGATCATCCAAGGAAAGTCAGCAACCGGGTGCGTCCTGCACCCCGCCTCGCTGGTGCTGCTGCAGCTGCCAAGTCCACAAGGCCCCGCCCCCGCTCCGCCCGCCCCTGGCCCTAAGGGCCCGTCCCCAGTTCATCAGGACCCTGCCCGGGACGTCCCTACCCGCCCAAGCACCTGCAGCTTCACCAGTTGGGTCCCGAGTTGCTGCTCCTCGCGCTGCTGACTCTGATGCTCCCCTCCATAGTAGAAAAGCTGAGGGTGGGGCTTGTGAGGGCGGGTCTCCGAGAAGGGCGGAGTCCTGGGGCGTGGGGGCGGGGCGGAAACGGGGGCGGGACGAAGTGTCCTGGGGGCGGGCACGGGGCGAACTCCGGCCGGAGGCCAGAGCTGAGCTCTCCCGGGTAAGCAGGAGACAGAGCAAGTACCTGACTCGACAGCTCTTCCCACTGCTCCTGCAGGCGCCGGTTGTGCTGCTCCTGCGGACAGGACCCGGGGGTGGTCCCGGTCTCTCCCAGTCCCCGCCGGCCCCGCCCACCCAGGCCGCCCTCCCCACCAGGTCCCGCCTGCGGCGCTCGGCGGTTTCCTGCAGCAGCCGCGCCCGCTCCGCACGCTCCCGCGCCGCCTCGCGCGCCTCCCCTCTCAGCGTCCGAGTCGCATGGCTTCGCCTCCGCTGCAGGCTGCAGAGGGGAAACTGAGGCAATGGCACCTCGGGAAACAGGGGGTGCTTCCTCCGGTCCTTGGGGGAAGGACCAGCTGAGGGGTCGGGATGGGCCGAGGAAGCCCGCGCCGGGTCGCCAAGTGTAGACGCCTCGTGCCCCTGCGCGGAGCCCCACAGTTTATCATTCGGGTTCCAGTGGCCGACGGCGGTGTGGGCCTGAGCGGGGAAAATAACTAACGGGTGTGCCAGACGCTCTGCTAAGCCCGGAGTGTCGCCGCGCAAGGACTTTGCTGCGCCCTCATAACCTGGTTGAGCCGCGCACCTGCGCTCGCGCTCGCGCAGATCCTGCAGGCGCCCGTTGAGGCTCTCGCTCTCGGCCTCAAGCCCACGCACCAGCTCCTCCAGCTCCTGCTTCCGCAGGCGTCCGTCGCGATTGTCCTTCTGCAGCTGCAGCAGCAGCTCCTGCGCCTCGGCCATGGCTCCCGGGGCTCTGCCCGGCTCCACCCTCTTCGAGGCCCCGACCCCAGACCGTCGTCACAATGGGCGGCAGGGGGCGCCAGGGCGCAAGCGCGGAGCGAGGCAAGACGTGGGTCAGGTGGGATCGCACTTGGTCTGTCAGGAAATGGTTAGTAAATACTAACACCGATTTCAGGTAATGTGAGGCCGGTTTGCTGCCCCCATATTGCAGGTGGCACTTGCAAGTACCTTGTGTGTGAAAACCTTGGAAATCTATATCATATTCATAAGTACGTTCATTTCCTTTGACCCGGTTATCCCACTCCTGGGAATTTATCAAATGAATAAAAAGATGCTTTAAGCGACTGTACATTAAGTGGGTCAATGAAATGCTTTCAGCAATTACAGGAAACAAGTGCAATTATTTAAATGACATTAAAATATTATGTGGTAAGCAGAAATATGTGTAGTGGAAAAGGTAGAATAACACTGATGTTTTATATGGTACATAGAAGTTTATAAGGTCTATGGGCAAGATCTTGAAAGAAAACAGGAGAAAGACAAGCTATTTCACTGTTTGGTGGGAGTGCCGGTGAACTTATCCATTTAAAATCTGCCTTTATATTTGGTCAATTTCCACTGTGAACTTGAATGCAAAACTTCTCAATAAATCATTAGCCAAGTGCAAGGTGCCGTATTAAAAAGGAAACCAAACCGAGGTTATTCCAGGGATTTTTCAAGATCAGAAAATTGATGATTCACCACATGACACTAGGAGGAAGAGCACTACCATTCCAACGGTGCATTTCAATACATGCAGAAAATATTAGAGATTTCAACATCTACTGATATTGTTAAAAGCTCTTTTGGAAGAGCACTAGGAAGAGAACTAGAAAGGTCTCTTTTGAAAGAGACCTGATGAAAGTTACTTAGTAAAAAGGTATAGTAAACATATATAGTAAGGAGGAAGCCACTAACAGGCAAATTTTATCAACAAATACAGTTGTCCCTCTATATCTGTATTCATGGATTCAACCAGGTGTTGGTTGCTTGAGGCCTCAGACTCAGGGGAACTTGCAGACACAGAAAGCAGGCTATGAGGGATTTGAGCATTCCAGATTTTGGTATCTGCAGGGGTCCTGAAACCAATTCCCGTCAAATAACAAGTTTTGGGGGGTCATAAGTTATATGAGGGTATTTGACTACTGGGGCTTTGGTGCCCCTAACCACAGCACTGTTAAAGGGTCAACTTTTTTTTAACAGTGTTCCCTTTAAGAATTTAAGAGACGACAATAGTGATCCTCCCATTAAGGTCTGATTAGTGCTGAAGGGTCTGAAACATAGCAAGGAAAAAAAAAAAAAGATAGAAAAATGTGAAGAATATGCAGCAGTTATAGTTACTTACCCTAAACTACTTCTCATGCATCTCGCCAATACAAGCCCCTTAGATTACTCCTTTCCAAAGGTCTTATTCTTCTGAGTCACCAGGTCCACTACTTCCTAGCCCCACGCATAAGGCAGAACTGATCTAAACCAGTTGTGGTTGTCTGGCTTCCCTGTGGTAAGATTTTGCCTGTGAAACTCAAGGGGACATTGGCTGGGGGTTTCTGGGACATTTGCCTTGCTGTGAAAAAAGACACATGGAAGGATATTCTCTTTGATGCCTGCTGATGTCTACATGTGATGACTGGCACTGCTGTAGCCCCCTCGTGACCATGAGTGATCTAAAAAAGGAAGTCAATATGTCCCTTTTGGGGCGACCCTCCTTGAAAATCTTTCCCTCACTTTTCATGGACCAGAATTAGGACGCATGCGCATTCCTAAGGCAGTCACCAGTAAATGGGAATGGAGCCCAGACAAAGATAGGGGGCAGGTGAGTGGTAGGCAGGCATTGCATAACCACTCGGCAGATGGTGCTGGGAAAGACAGCTCAAGATAAAAAAGAGAAATACAAGTTAAACAAACAAACAAACAAAAGAAATTAAAAAAAAGTCTACTTCACACTTTTGTAGTGAGGAGCCCTAGAAGGATCAGAAGCTTCAATTAGATAAGAAATAGACTTGGGATGTTGGTTTGGGGAAAGATTTGTCAAACAAGACATAGCAAGCACAACTAGTGGAAGGAAAATCAATGGATTTATTACATCAAACACAGAAGACTTTGCTTATCTGTAGACAACAGAGTGAGAGTGATGGCAATATTCTCTATCCTGATTGGAGGTTGAATTCCTAAGTGCAAGATATTAGTCAAAACTCACTGGATGGAACACTTAAGATCTGGGCTTTTAAATCTGTGAAATTATACCTCACTTCAAAACAATCCACTTGCAACATAAGACACCATGGACAAATGGGGACAAAATGGGACAAGATCTTTCCTTCCTTCCTTTCCTTCCTTCCTTCCTTCCTTCCTTCCTTCCTTCCTTCCTTCCTTCCTTCCTTCCTTCCTTCCTTCCTTCCTTCCTTCCTTCCTTCCTTCCTTCCTTCCTTCCTTCCTTCCTTCCTTCCTTCCTTCCTTCCTTCCTTCCTTCCTTCCTTCCTTCCTTCCTTCCTTCCTTCCTTCCTTCCTTCCTTCCTCCCTCCCTCCCTCCCTCCCTCCCTCCCTCCCTCCTCCCCCTCCCTCCCTCCCTCCCTCCCTCCCTCCCTCCCTCCCTCCCTCCTTCCTTCCAGCACTGGGTACAGTCTGAAGAATGGGAGGGTGAGAGAATTCACCAGAGCCATAGCAGGGAACAGAACAGGCAGACTGATGAAATACACTGCTGAGGGGAGCAGCAGGCGCGGCAGGAGAGGTCTGTTGAGCCATGTGGGACCCTCGCCAGCAGCTGGGGATGGAAACAGCGCTGCAGAGGCTGTGGGCAGCTTCACAGCCCAGCGCTCAACTGCTGCGCCACCAGGGGAGGCCCTGGGACAAGATCTTTGTAATCACATGACTAAATTTGGAATCAGATGACTAACATATGGGAAGTCCTGGGGCCACCCAGGTTTCTCTCAAAAGAAACCAAGCATCAAGAGGACAAAGGGTGTGCTGGGACAATCTCCAGAGAGAACTTTAATGCCCAACAAGCATATGAAGAGACTGTTCTTTGCAGCCACCAGAGCAGCACAGAGACACTGGTAGACATCAAATATAAGCAAAGATGTGAATAAACAGAGATCCTCTCCCACTACTCCCAGCATAGTACTTGGCCACTGGGGGAGCAAGGTGATATGGTGACTGGGTGTGGTTGCTCTCTACGGCCCACAATTCTACTCCAGAATACATGACCCATGGGAAGATTCTTACATGATCACAAAGCATAGAGAACAGCTGAAATATGCCACCAGTGTTGGGAAATTGAAGAGAGAAATGGGCCATATGGAAACAATTTATAAAGGAATTCAGTAGAGCATTTCCCATGAGCTGGGACCTACTAAAATCAACATGAAGAAGCCTGAAATTAATGTTGAAAATAGGATGTAGAATGAGATGTACCCTGCCGCGGACCAGCACAGCAGTAGGCAGTAGACGATGAGGCCACCTCAGGGTTGAGAGAAGCGTGCAGGGTGGTCAGGGCGTCGGCGAAAGAAATGACAAACAGACACACTTCAAGAGTGAAAATCTGAGTGTAATTTTCTCTAAATTTGTGACCAGTATATATATGTTTTCCAAAAGCACAGGAATGAATATCAAGGAAATCAGCTTGCTCATGGGCTCAGTCTACCACTATCAGGGAGGTGATCTACATAACAAGCAATGACCATTATAGAAGAAAGAAGGAAGTTTAGAAAGACAAATAAGGGATTAAAGTTTGTAGTTCTAGGAAGAGGGATAAGATTTTTAGCATTCTTGTAGTGGTTCTTGGTGGTCGTTATCTATTGATAAGCTTCTGCCTTTTCAGGGAACTTCCGTTGCACTTCCTCTGCTTCAGGCTGTTCTCCCCCCCCCCCCCCCCGCGCGCTGGTTGCCCAGCCGGATCTAGGGACCGTGGCGAAAGCCATTCCTAAAGATCACTGCGGGGGGAGGTGCAGCAGGTATGTAGGGTTTTGCTGTTCTCCCGCTGCGCGCTGGTTGCCCAGCCGGACCTAGGGCCGGTTAGCCCTAAAGGTCACTGCAGGGGGAGGTGCAGCAGTACCCCATGATCATATTTATATAAACATGTACTATACACAGTGGTAAGTCCTGGGGGGGCGAGGAGAACAGGACCAGGGGTGGAAAGAGGGGTGGTGCATGATCTCAGGATGAGGACAAGGGGTCTGCAGACTGTATCCAGGCCACCAGAGGGCTACGCTACTGATGAAACTCTGCAGAGGTCAAGGTGAATTTAGGAAGCCTTACAGAACCGGGAGATGGGGCTCCTCACACTAATGTGGAGAATTATGAGCAAGCCCATAGTTACTTCAAGTTACTTGTAGTGAGTTAAAAGTGCCCAGGAATTGTCTGCAGTCCTGCCGTCAGGAGCAGCACCTATTGCCTGTGCCATGAACGTGCACTCCCCCTCCTCTTCTTCAGGCCAATGGAAGGAGGCAGATGAGCCTCAGAGCCTTTGCAGCTCCCATCCTCTTCCAGCAAGGGAAAGAAGCCCTGGGGGCTGACGCCACCAGCACCAGCAGCCAAGCACACACAGCTGTTGGAGACCAAGCAGCCCCAGGAGGCCCGGAGAGGACTGCAGACTCCTGCAAGGTCTGCACAACTGCCCAGCTGAGCCAGCTCAGCCTGACCCCAGAGGATCAATCCTTTGCTCATTAGCAAAGGATTTCCAGTTCCCAGATGGCGTCATATGGTGACACCATTCAATGACAAGTTCACAGGGACGGGGATTTTTACAGTTATTCTTGACTCGTGTGTTAGAATGGGTCCCTTAGGTGAACCCCAAGTCGCACAGCATTAGGGTAGGAATGGAACAAGCAAGGAGCTGCTTCCTACCTGATGTCCACCTTACCAGGGAAGTGATTTCTATGAACTTACTCAATCCTTAACACCCTAAGGAGGTTACACTCAGGTCCTCAATTTCAGAAGTATGTGGAGGTGCATGTGTCCCCTGAAGACCTTGGGGCCTGGGCTGTGGAGGATCCCGTGTGCTGAGTGTCACCACGGGCTAGAGGACACACAGGCCTGAACCACATGCTGCCCTCCCTGGCCTCACCCAGGAGCGGGGAAGGAAGGTGGGGTGCAGGGGTGGACGCGTGTTTTTCAAGCATCTCTGGTTCCATCCACAGCAGCAGTAGGTGCTGGGCAAAGTCCTCTCACCATACATCAAGGAAATCAATGAGGATTTGAGTCTCACCTTCAGAGAGCACATCTTTTTTAAAGAAAGATAGAGCGTCAAGTGAGGCTGCTGGGCCACAGGGCCGGGGACCAGGGCCAAGGGCGACCAGGGTTCTGGGGGGGATTGTGGTGGGATTTGTGTCTGAGAGCACCCTGGGGGCCCTAACAGGGGTTGTGGGTTACTCAGGAGGGCAGAGGGTAGACTCTGGAGGCCCAGGGTGTTCCAGCTGCTGAGGGGGACTTAGGGCACTTAAGGGTCTGGTGTTCAAAAGGGGCTGGGGAGGTAGATATAGTTCGCAGGAGGACTGGGGCAGTTTCAGGAATCTTCAGGGCAATTAGGAGTCCAAGGGCATCTAGCAGAACTCTGGAGGCCTGTCTGGGCTTATAGGTCTCAGGGGGATGGGTGGGGGCCTCAGGAACCCAGAGGAGAGGGGAATGCTGATTGTCCAGGACACTTTGAGATGGAAGGGATTGGAGGGGGATCACCAGTCCTACTCCTTGGTGAAAATCCCTGGAGCCTTGTAGACCAGACTTGAACTTCATGTGTGCAAACTAAGCAACAACAACAGAACATAAATCAGAATTAAATGACAGGTGCCCTGCAGTGGCCCTGCTTGTCTGGCTGGTGGCTTCATGAGGCCTCAGCTGAGCAGGCAGGATAGGAAGACCACAGAAGCTGGGGGATCAACAGAAATCCTTCCTGTCACCCTCCTAGACAGTAGGCCCTCTTCCATGTTCTGGCTTACATATTCCATTTACAACCCAGTGAGTGCCCCGCACAGCTACTGTTATGGGTGTCCTCATGATCATCACTCCACAGGACATGCTGTGGGACTCAGGCCCAGAGCCAGAGATGACCAGAGTAGGGACTGGAGGCCCACATTCTGCACCACAGGGGACTCCAGGGATGTGAACTCCATTTGCATAACTGAAAATGGCAGCTCACTCCCTACACCCCAGAAGCCTGGTGGCCCAGGGCGCTCCTCTGCATGTGTGAAAATGTGTGACCCGAGAGAACCCACAGAGCCCACAGAATCTGAGCAGGAATGAAGGTTCCCATCAACCCCAACGCCATAAGAAGGGGCAGACAGGGAGGCAGTTCCCGAAGAAGCTGCTCCAGCTCTGCCTGCTCTTTGCATAATACCCACCCTGGAGCACCTGCTGAGTCCAGTGCAGGGGCCCAGCTCTCCTCCTGTAGCTGTGGCTCTCCCATCTGCAAGTGGGGGGTTGGCCTCACCCTTTGCCCCACCTGCTTTCAAGCAAGGTTCCTCAAACTTTTGTGTGCTATTACTCTGGCACTCCTTACATGAAACAACACCCAGAGACTGTGGCTAATTAGCTGGGGCATAGGGCTGCCATGGCACCTGTGCTGGATCAGGGCCTCTCCAGCCCCTCCAAGGCCAGGCCCATCCAGAGGAGTCTGTCTATGAGCCCTGTAGGCCATGATGCTGGGCAGGCACCTCAAGTCTTTGTCTCTTGAAGGAGGTGGGCCACTGCCAGCTCCTGAGCCAGATCGCTGCATTTTTGCTGCTCTGTCTCTAGGAGTAGGATGCATTTGGGTTCCAGTCAAGCCCAAACCTCAGATAATATGCCATAAATGGTGGCTGGTAGCAGCAGGTAATGGGTGCATAGCACCCCTGAGGTAGCAGGGCTGGCTAGGAACTTCCATCAGGGATGGGCACCCTTGTCCCCATGCTGCCTATGGCTCCTGCATCAGCCCTTCCTTGTCCTATCAATTCTTACAGCCCTGCATAAGAATTCTGCCTCATGTCTGCTGACCAGCCAACTATCTCCAGGGTTCAGGGCTAGGTGAAGACCAGCGACCCCGTTCCTATGTGCTCCTACAGGCAGTCCCTGTCACCAGCCTGAGCCTCTGCCATGTGACACTGTGGAAAGGGCCGGCCTGGGTCAAGATCTGTGGGACCCCAGGTGACGTGGGCCTCCACGGTAGGTGGCGCTCTTGCTGCCACGAGGGTCATGGCACTCTGCCCCTGTCAGCATGGTTTCAATGCCAGGCCTGCCCTCTGGGAACCATGCACCTCTCAGGCCTGGGGAGTGCCTTGGTCTCGGTTTGCCCAGTATGTGGAGATGGTTCAGCTGTGGGGTCTGACAGTGCCCACATTTGGCTGGAGCAGAGTTCTATCTTGGGTGTCTGGGTCCTTCCAGGTGTCTTCAGTCCTGGTTGTCCCAAAATGAGGTGCTTCCTGGTGTACCATGATCACGCCATGAGTCTAACCCCCTCAAACTCAAACAGGACATGGTGAGTTGATGAGTACTTGGCTCAGACCAAGGCAGGAGGCTTCCCTGTCTTTCTGCTGGGAGATGGGCAGGGAATGGCACCCAGGGTCCCAAGTTCCTCCTGCTGGCCTGAGACTGGGTGACAGGATCCAGTGGTTGACGGGACAACCCTCCATCCCCAGGGATGTTCCATCGGGAGACACAGACCTCCCTGTGCCAGATTGACACTTGCTGAGAGTGTGAGAAGGCCAGTGTGGAAAGGGGGTGAAGAGAGTGAGCCTGCACTGAGGAGGGCTTGCAGGAGAGGACAGACCCCCCCCCACCTCCTTGAGGGCCTGGGGACCTTATCCTGGGAGCTCACTGGACAGGTCCTGGGGAGCATGGGGAGGGTATTGGTAGAGGCGTCCTGGACCCCAGAGGAGAGACGGGATGTGGTTCTGGGGCCTGGAAGGAGCCTGAGGACTGGGTATAACCACTGGCTGGAGGATACACAGGCCTGGGCCACATGCTGCCCTCCCTGGTCCACCCAGGAGCGGGGAAGGAAGGCGGGGTGCAGGCGTGGACTCTTGTTTCTCAAGCACCTCTGATTCCACCCACAGGATCTGAATGCAATGGGAAAAGTCCACTTGCCCCATGTGAAAAAGATCGAAAGGGAAATGAGCTGCACTTTCAGGTACCACAGATGTTTCTGAGAGAGATATGGTATCAAGTGAGGCATTCTGGGGTACCCTGACTAGGCAATAGCCTGCCAGGCCCAGGGTACCACTGCTTCTCTGTGGTGCCCGAATTCCATGTCTCCCCAGAGCAGTGACCCTACCCTAATGGAGGCAACTAGTGTATTGCAAAGATGCAGGTCTGAGGCGGGCCTGGACACGTGGTCCCCACACCTGCCACCTAGAGCCGCCTCAGTCAGCTGAGGGGGCCTAGCCTGGGAGGCGGCAGCCACTCTCACTCTAGGCCTCCAATAAACTTTTGGGCTCAACATATGAGACTGGTGTCTCCTCAGCGCCCTGATGTGCTGCAGCAGGAGGGGAGGCAGCCTTGTGTCTGGTGAGCGGCTCACACCACGACCTTCCCAGCCAGAGGCCGCTGTCAAGCCCACCCAGACCCTGAGCCTGCAGTTCAGCCTGGCCCTGTTCTCACTAGGCCAGGACGGCTTCAGGCAGATCAGAATGGGGTACAGTTGGCGCAGGCCACGAAGGTTTGTGCGGAAGATTTATGGTCAACTAATCTTTGACAAAGGAGCAAAAACTATGCATTGGAGCCAAGAAAGTTTGTTCAATAAATGGTGCTGGGGAAACTGGGTGGCTACATGCAAAAGAATGAAGACTAACTACTACCTCACACCACACACAAAAAACTCAAAATGGATTAAAGAACTAGACATAAGGCCTGAAAGCATAAAATACATAGAAGGAAATATAGGCGAAACACTACGTGATATGCACATCAAAGACATCTTTACAGACACATCACCCAAAGCAGTGATAGTGAAGGCAAAGATCAACAGCTGGGACTACATCAAATTAAAGAGCTTCTGCACAGCAAAAGAGACAATAACAAAAACAAAGAGAAACCCCACCGACTGGGAGAACATTTTTGCACACAACACTAATGATAAAGGACTGATCACAAAAATCTGCAAAGAGCTGATGAGACTCAACAACAACAAAGAAAATAATCCAGTCAAAAATGGGCAGAAGAGCTAAAAAGAAACTTCTCTGAAGAGGAAATGCAAATGGCCAACAGGCATATGAAAAAATGTTCAACATCACTTGTCATCAGGGAAATGCAAATCAAAACTACCATGAGATACCATCTTACACCAGTGAGAATGGCACATATTAAAAAACTAGCAACAACAAATGTTGGCGAGGTTGTGGAGAAAAAGGAACTCTCCTGCACTGTTGGTGGGAGTGCAAACTGGTCCAACCACTATGGAGAGCTGTGTGGAGATTTCTGGACCTACTAAACATAGAGCTTCCATATGATCCAGCAATTCCACTCCTAGGTATTTACCCAAAGGACACAGAAACATCAATTCCAAAGAGCACCTGCACCCCTATGTTTATAGCAGCACTGTTTACAATAGCTAAGCTTTGGAAACAACCCAAATGCCCAAAAATAGATGACTGGATCAAGAAGATGTGGTACATATATACCATGGAATATTACTCAGCATTCAAAAAAGATAAACACATGCAATTTGCAGCAACATGGATGGCGCTGGAAGGGATAATGCTCAGTGAAATAAGCCAAAAAGAAAACGAAAAATACCGGATGGTCTCACTCATAGCAGGAATCTAGAAAACTTAAATAAGGGACCAGGAAAATTAACAACTATAAGAAAGTGAAAATCAAAATCAACAAAAAACTATGAACCAGAGACACTTTTTGGGGGGTGCGGGGCGGGAGGGGAGGGATTGGGGTCAGAATGGGGGGGTTGCAATTGTATGGGGAATATAAAAATAAAATTTATTATTAAAAAAAAAAAGGAGAAACTAAAAAAATTCTTTGAATTGAATGACAAGGAGGACACCAATTTCCAAAACGTATGGGATGCAGCAAAAGCAGTAATTAGAGGAAAATATAGAGCAATACAGCTCACATCAAGAAACAAGAAAGAACTCAAAGAAACAACCTAATCTTTTTTTTTTTTTGATTTATTTATTTATTTTTTTAATAATAAATTTTATTTTTATATTCCCCATACAATTGCAGCCCCCCCATTCTGACCCCAATCCCTCCCCTCCCACCCCCGCCCCCCTAAAAGTGTCTCTGGTTCATAGTTTTTTGTTGATTTTGATTTTCACTTTCTTATAGTTATTCGTTTTCCTGGTCCCTTATTTAAGTTTTCTAGATTCCTGCTATGAGTGAGACCATCCGGTATTTTTCTTTTTCTTTTTGGCTTATTTCGCTGAGCATGATCCCTTCCAGTGCCATCCATGTTGCTGCAAATTGCATGTGTTTATCTTTTTTGAATGCTGAGTAATATTCCATGGTATATATGTACCACATCTTCTTGATCCAGTCATCTATTTTTGGGCATTTGGGTTGAGAAACAACCTAATCTTGAAGCTCAAAGAACTAGAAAAGGAAAAACAACAAAACCCCAAAACCAGTAGAAGAAAAGAAATAATAAAAATCAAAGCAGAAATAAATGAAATAGAAACTTTAAAAAAAATCCAAAAGATGAATGAAACCAAAAGTTGGTTCTTTGAAAAAATAAATAAAATAGACAAACCCCTAGCCAGGCTCACAAAGGAGAAACAGGAGAAGACACAGATAAATGGATCACAAATGAGAGGAGAAATCACAATAGACACAGCAGAAATCAAAAGAATAATCAGAAACTACTATGAACAGTTATATGCAAACAAACTCAACAATCTAGAAGAGATGGACAAATTCCTACAACTCTATAATCACCCAAAGCTAGACTAAGAAGACATAGAACACCTAAACAGACCAATTATAAGCAGTGAAATTGAAACGGTAATCAAAACCCTTCCCCAAAACAAAAGCCCAGGACCAGATGGATTGACCAATGAATTCTACCAAACATTCAGAAATGAATTAGTGCCTATCCTTCACAAACTCTTCCAAAAATTGATAATACCAAATATGTTCTATGAAGCCAACATTATACTACTACCAAAACCAAACAAGGACAACACAAAAAAAGCAAACTACAGGCAAATCTCTCTAATGAACATAGATGCAAAAATACTCAATAAAATTTTACTATCAGAATCCAACAATGTATCCATAAAATAATTCACCGCAACCAAGTTGGATTTATCCCAGGGACACAAGGATGGTTCAACATCAGAAAATCAATCAATGTAATCCAACACATCAACAAAAAGAAATATAAAAAGAAAAAAATACAAAAAGAAATATAAAAACCTTATAATAATATCAATAGATGCTGAAAAAGCTTTTGACAAAGTACAACACCCATTTATGATAAAGGCCCTTGAAATTCTCGAGATACAGGGAATATACCTCAACATCATAAAGGCCATATGTGACAAGCCCATAGCCAGTTTCATTCTCAATGGTGAAAAGCTGAAAGCATTTCCATTAAGATCTGGAACAAGACAAGGATGTCCACTCTCACCACTGCTTTTCAATATAATACTGGAAGTCCTAGCCAGAGCAATAAGACAAGAGAAAGACATACAAGGAATCCAAATAGGCAAGGAAGAAGTCAAACTATCACTATTCACAGATGATATGATAATATACATAGAGAACCCCAAAAACTCCACAGAAAAACTAATTCAACTCATCAATCAGTTTAGTAAAGTGGAAGGATACACAATCAACACACAAAAATCAGTAGCCTTCCTATACACAAACAATAAATCTGAAGGAGAAGAAATCAAGAAAACCATCCCTTTTATTATTGAAACAAAAAAATCAAATATTTGGGAATAAACTTAACAAAAGAAGTAAAGGACCTATACAAAGAAAACTATAAAACACTGTTAAAAGAAATAGAAGAAGACACAAAGAAATGGAAAGACATCCCCTGCTCATGGATTGGAAGAATTAACATTATCAAAATGGCCATCCTACCAAAAGCAATATACAGATTCAATGCTATTCCAATAAAAATTCAATGTCATTCTTCAAAGAAATAGAACAAATATGATAAAATTCATATGGAGCCACCAAAAACCCCCAAAAGCCAAAACCCTCCTGAAGAAAAAAGAAGGGAATGGAGGCATCACTCTCCCAGATTTCAAACTATACTACAAAGCCTAATAATCAAAACTGCATAGTATTGGAACAAGAACAGACACCCCGACCAATGGAACCAAATAGAAAACCCAGAAATAAACCCACATATTTATGGTCAACTAATCTTTGACAAAGGAGCAAAGAATATGCACTGGAGCAAAGAAAGTTTGTTTAACAAATGGTGCTGGGAAAACTGGGTTGCTACATGCAAAAGAATGAAGCTTGACCACTACCTCACACCATGCACAAAAACCAACTCAAAATGGATTAAAGAACTAGACATAAGGCCTGAAACCATAAAATATATAGAAGGAAATATAGGCGAAACACTACGTGATTTGCACCTCAAAGACATCTTTACAGACACATCACCCAAAGCAGTGATAGTGAAGGCAAAGATAAACAGCTGGGACTACATCAAATTAAAGAGCTTCTGCACAGCAAAAGAGACAATAACCAAAATGAGGAGAAGCCCCGCCAACTGGGACATTTGGAAGGCACTCAATAAAAATATGAATAAGGGCCTCCCCTGGTGGTGCAGCGGTTGAGGGCTGGGTTGTGAGGCTGCCCGCAGCCTCTGCAGCGCCAGTTCGATCCCCAGCCACCTGCGAGGGTCCCCCAAAAAAAAAAAGAACAAATTAATTACTTTTTCAATATGGTGGATTTGATTCAGTGTAAGAACTGATGTCCTGTGAAAAAACTCTGAAAACTTTGAGACCTTCAAAATGGAATGATAGTGAATACCAATTGTAGCTTTGAAAATGAGGCCAACTGACTCCACAGATATTTTAGAGGACATTCCCATGAAGTTTGATTGAATCCACTTGAGTGTCCTTTCAATTCTGACATTATAATATTCCGAACCATTTAAGACTATACTATCGGATAGAAAATTGGTATGAAGTCAATATTATACCTCTTAATAGTTCACAAGAAAGCCAATCTAGCTATTGTAGTCCATGCATCTGCTTAGTCTACTTAATGATTCCAGATATGCACCATCTGCCTAACAGGGATGGATATAGAGAAGAATATTTCTTTCATCTTTGAAATTTGAGTCTCGCTCTCTATTTTTCTAAACATTTATTGTAAGAAAAGAAAAACCCTTCTGGTTTTAAGTAGAAATTAAAATTGTTTTTAATCCCATTTTTATTACCTAGACACTGGATAAAGGACCACTCATAGTTCTTTTCTTTAGGACAAAGACTGGTGTCAAGAACCATCTCATTATTATGCATCCAATAAGCTTCTTGGTCCCCACGAAGAACCTTCAATGCAGGGTCCTCTTCCGTATTACCAGGGCCAGTGCACCAGCCACATCCAGGCTGTTCCAAACATTGCCCACAGGTTCTCAGTCCAGGACAATTTGGAGCTGCACAACAGGACTATAAACAAATCTATGACTTCATACTCAAACAGAATTGTAAACTAATTGACAAATGTGATTGGAAAATAGGACAGTCAAAGGTCATCTATAGCTATTATAAACTTTTTCTGAGATAATACCTCAGAAACAACAATTCCTCAAACAAACCATACATCCTGAAAAAAGATCAATGGAATGGCTTTAGGGTGAAAAGGGGGTGATAACCGGACAGGGAGGAAAATGCAGTCGGCATTTCAAAAGTACTGAGAATTTTGCAGTCTTAGCACATTTGGGGAGTTGATCCAGGGACCTACAGACCTATATTTACCATTGTGTGGGGTGTTGAGCTGCTCATGATGTGCCAGAGGAAGGCCATCATTGAAAATTTCTGCCATCAGCTAGTGAGCTAGTGCAAGTGAGGTCTACCCATTCCCCAAGGGTGCTGAGCCTCCTTTGGTCAGCCTCTCATCAACAGTGATCCTCATGACTGTCCAAGATACTGGCAATTTGTATCATGCGATGAATAAACACAATTTCACCCAAAGCAAAATGAAATCAGCACTTCGTGAATGGGAACGTAGGAATCAGACAATCTCCTCAGAGGCACAAGGAGCAAAAGACTTCCCTGAGTGCAGTGCTGCTCAGTATCACTCCAAGATCCTCCTGAAGTTCAACCTTTGCTTTAAGGTTGCAATCATATTTAAGCCAGGTGTTATGTGAAATTTTAAATGATTAATTCACAACTAGAGTATGTTAAATTGGGCTGATCACTATCATCGCTAATTGCTTTCAAGTGATGTTTGGGTAGAAAAAGCACACTTGGTCTTGGGAACTGTTTATACATAGAAGATAGTGACACAGATATAAAGCACCATGACTGATTTCTTCTAGTCATAGGCTAGAAAAACCCAGGAGGAAACAAATGATGGACTTCTGGCACACTGCAATTTCGTTGCTGTGGTAGTAATTACAAACTGACACTTGGTGTTTCAATGTTATTGGAAACAAAAATCATACAGTGGCCATTTCCGTCACTTAGCCAGGACCCAGAGGGACAGAGAGGTGAGAGTATCCTGCTCCCATCACCTCTGCAATTACCAGGGACAGTGACTCCTGTGAACACCCTTAGCACAGTGTTCAGTGCACCTGAAAGGACAGACCCCACCCAGCGCTAGGGCGTCTGTCAGCCCCTGTGTATGAGCCCTCTTGGGGAGGATGCGTTCACGTGTTGCGTGTCACTAGGGAACACCCATTCAATGTGTTGGGACTATAGAATAGAAGAGCTTCAATGTAGGGAGGCTCTTAGAAGGGTACTGAGGAACCTTTCTAGATCATTGTGATGTGAAAGGCACCATGTGTATTTGCAATAAACGTCCACTAGGAAGGGAAAGGCCGGGGTGGACTTAGCAATGGGGAGTGTGACGGGCTGCGCTGGACACCTCTATGCCATTAGGGCTCAGGTTCCAGGGGAAAGTGCACGCAGCTCCGCACGCAGCTGACTCAAGACGCCCATTGTTGGTCGGCATGGAAGCCGCCCCCCCCCCCAACATTCTACCTGCTGCCTGGCAGCCACTCTGCTCCCTATCCCTAGGAAATTGGAGGTGTCTTTCCATTTCTCCTTGCCTTGTGCACCCATCTGCTCCGTTGTTGATCCAGTGGCCATTTCCGTCTCTTAGCCAGGACCCACAGGGACAGAGAGGTGAGTGTGTCCAGCTCCCATCACCTCTGCAATTGCCAGGGACAGTGACTCCTGTTTGGGCAGGATGACCTCCTGGCCTGCGGGCGGGGGAGCTGACAGCCAGCACTGGATGCCTCTCTCACCAGCATCCGAGTTCTCTTGGGGAAGGGCTGGCTGTTCATCGGCCTTGAGCAGCACAATAAGCTGAGGGGCCCTTAGCCAACACCCAGGCAGGGGAGGAGGTCACAGAAAAGGGGGTCGTGGAGGCCATGGCAAGCTGCACTCACAGGGTGAACAGCACGATGGAGGGGAGTGTGGAAGAGGGTGGGAAGGCAAGGGGAGGTGGAGGCAGTTAGAGAGAAGATGGGGGAGGGGCAAGGGGACAGAGAATAAGGAAGGACAAGGGAGGAAGGTGGAGCGATGGACTGAAAGGAGGATGGAGCTGGAGGCGGAGGTGATGGAGAGCAGCTTGGGGTGGCGGGGGGAGGTGATGGAGAGAGCTGGGAGGAGAGGGAATGTGCACAGCAGAGACGGTGCAGCAAGAGATCCCGAAGCACGGAGAATGAAGAGCAGGAAGGGAAGAAAGAAAAAGAGGTTGGAGGGGGCGGGAGCTGTACATGAACAATGGAGAGAATGGAGTGAGGAGAATTAGACGCGAGTTTGCAGAGAAGATCCAAGTGGAGGAGATGGGACAGGAGGACGGGGTTGAGCGTGGAGAGAAGGATGCCAGAGAAGCAAGAAGAGGAGGAAGGAGATGGCGGGTGGGAGAGGAGGCGGGGGAGCGAAGCTCTTTGGAGGGCACGCAGGCGGAGGGTGCAGAGGGTGCGGGAGCAGCCAAGCGGGCTGGCTGTTGCCTCTCGGGACAGCAGCAGCTTTGGGAGCAGTGCGGGGCGGAGGAAAGACAACCCCAAGTCCAGTGGAGAGAGCCAGAGACCTACAGGGGCGTGCACCTCGGGAAATGCAGCCCGATCCCAGGGCGGTCTCACATTTGTCGGGCATCAGGTTCCGGGAAGGGGGGCTCGTGTCTGGGAGCGTGGGGGGATGTGGATTGGGGATGCACCATGGTCTGGCACTGGCTGGCAGGGGAGTGAGTAGGGGGAGAGAGTAGGGGCCGTTGCCTGGGCGACTCCATGCTTCCCACTGACCAAATCATCCTGTCTCCGCCTCCTGTTGACCCTTACCTTGCTGTCTGGTCGTGCTGTGATGGCATCATCTTGCCTGCAGAGACTGGTTTTCAGCAGATAATGGTTGTCCACTATGTTCCTCATACCAACCCTTTGGTCCTGCTGAGAGGCCCCCGCCTGACTCGAGGATTTGGCATGACACCGGGACCTCTGGGCACCAACACGCTATCCTGGGAATCCACAGTTGGGGATGAAGGGAGTTGGGGGTGGGAGAACAATGACCCCTGGCAGGTGGAGGGTGGTCCTGTGAGGCCAGCTTCAGTGCCAGTTGCGGGCTGTGATAGGAGACTTCAGCAGTGGTGACGGAACTATGGCCCACCTAAAGCCTGATAGATGAGGGTGCAAAAAGATCCTGTACTACTTTTCCTTCCAATGATCACGTGCACCTTCTGGGGGATGGGAAGCGGGAACAGGGTGAGAGTGTGAGGAAGGGCAAGACTCCAGGCCAGTGGCCCAGGGGCTTCGCCAGTCCTGCGCATCCCTGCTGTACCCTGCATGCTGTTAGCACGCTAACTGGGCTGAGGTTCACAGATCCAGGGTGCAGAGTGACCAGGCTCCCTGCAACACTCACTGCAAAGCCTAGTGCTGATGAGAACGCCAGCACGTGCAACACATGCACTTGCCGAACTCACACGGCTCCCTGTCCCTAGGCCGTCAACACTCTTGCCTTGCAGAGCCCGGACCGATTCTGCTGGGCTCACTGCCCGTGTCAGCCAGCCCGCGTGTCCCATTCCACCCGGGAGAGGCACGTCGCCCAGCGAGAGTTCGGAAGGGTGAGTGTTGCCTCCTGCTCCGCTGCCCTTTGGGTGTGATGGAGCCAGATGATTTAAATTTCCTGGGCCCCTGAGTTCCCACTGCACAGGCTCCCTGCCCCACTGGGCTGGGAATCCCACTGCTGGGAAGAACGGAAGATCCTCAGTTCCTCCAAGGCCCGCGGTCCCACTGCTTCCTGCCCCTAAGGCGTCGGCTGTGACTCGTGTCTCTGCAGGACCTGCAGGACTCACTGCGGATCTCATCTCCTGGGTCCCGTTCCACTCAGGACACACACATTGTCCAGCAAGAGGTCAGACAGGTGGTGGCCCACCTCTTCGGGGACTTTCGGGAGATTGGTAACTGGGTGAAACATTCTAGAATACTCTGCCAGAATGATTTTCCCTCGCGTGATACTGACATAGGCCTCCGAGGCTCTGTGAGGAGGAGACGGTCGCCCTCGACACAATGTCCATGTCAGAGGAGCTCTAAACAAAAACAATCCACCAGCACCCAGGAAGGGAAGGAGGAAGGGCAGAGGGTGTTCATGGCCAGAGAGAGAGACAGGGCGGTAGGAGAGAGGAGGAAGTGCACGCAGGAGGTGATGAGATGCATGCAGTGAGGACTGAAGAGCCATGATCGAGGGAGAGGAGGGAAAGTCGATGACTGAAGGATAAAGCCGGGGTGTGCAAAAAATGGGGGAGACAAGGAGAGGAAGACAATGGAAAGAAGACTAGATACCGGGTTAAGGGGGGCAGTGGAGGAGAGGAAGGGGAGGGATATGGGGGAGGCTGGAGCGGATGCATGTTGCTGGAGCATGAGCGGGAGGACGGTGAGGCGGCACGGGGGGGGTGTGGGGGGACTGCGGCGCAAAGGCAGGAGGCGGAGATGGGAACTATCAAACACTTGGATCAGGTGCAAGGAGATGAGAGAATGGGACAGAAAGCGCAGAGGATCTGAAGACGAGGGTGCGGTGCTGAAAGGAAGAGAAGGTGCAGGAAGAGACTTAAGCAAGGCGAGGAGGAGAATGTAGGGGCTGATCGAGCAGGAAGGAGGACGGAGAGGAAGGAGAACACGATAGCATGATGTGACCTGGAGGGGGCAGAGGAAACCCTGGGAGGATTTGAGGCCCAAAGTCCTGTGGTGAAGGAGGGCGAGTGTAGGATGACAGAGAGGAGGGTGGAGCGATCCTGTGCGACGGGAGGAGCAGGTGGATGAGGACGGCACACGGAGAGCTGGTAGGACAATGGACATGCAGCGGGTCCATGTGGACAGAGGAAGCAGGAGGAGGGGAGCTGGACAATCAGTGTTGGGACCATGGTGGCACAAAGGGAGAAATTGGCGATGGGCTGGAATGGAGTTGGGCGAGGGCAGGAGGGTGGAAGAGGATGGGGGACGGCGGGGTGAGGACAGCAGGAAGGAGCGAGGATGCGGTGGAGCTGGGAGGAGATGGACAGGGTGTTGAAAGATGAGGTGGCTGGTGTGGGAGGAAGGGGACATGGTGGAGGAGGAGGAGGGAGAGAGAACGGAGGGAGCCCCGGGAGCAGGATGAAGCGCGTGAAGAAGGAGCAGGCAGAGGAGGCAGAAGGCGTGTGGAGCTCATGCTTTCCCACAACCCAGTGACCCGGCTCCCAGTCCCGCTGATCCAGAAGCCTATTGGTGGGCAGTGGCAGCACCAGCGTCCTGCCCAGGGCCCGGTAGACTCTCTGCTCTCTGTCCTCGGCAGTGAGAGGCTCTGTGTCATCTCTTGCTGACTGTACCGCCCATCAGGACCCGAGTGTCCATCTGTACCCGAAGACACAGCACCGACCTCAGTGGGTCAGAGAGGTGTGACCTGCTTCTTCCTCGTTGGCTCTGTGGGCACGGAGTTCCCTGGGGGAGACAGGACAGGTCCTGGGACGTATGCGTGTGACCTGACACCAGCACTGAGTGTGTCCAGTTCTGTGGCCCCCTGGACTCTGGCGGTCAAGGGCAGCGGCTCGAGGTGCCAGTGTCCAGAAGAGGAAGGCTGACCACAGAGGAAGGTGCTCCAGCTGGGCTGACAGGCGTGGGGAGGACAGCAAGAGCAGGGCCAGAGAGAAGGACCAACACTGGGCCGGGAGGGAGCGAGAAGAGTTTGGAGCTGGGTGCGGCAGGGAACGCAGGGCGGGGAGAGTCAGCAGACACACACGGACGGAGAGGAGGCTGGAGATGCCATGAGGCAAGTGGAGAGAAGCGAAGGGAGAGGACGGAGGAGGAGGATGGGGACGAGGGGAGACCAGGCTGCGAGAGTCGTCACCGGCGCGCGGGTCACTGCTAGGGCTACCTGCGCGCCCGGGTTCGCATGAGGCCCAGGGAAACATCAGGGGAAAGGAACTAGCGGGTGTGGAAACACACTTGGCAGCTTTCATTCCCGTCAGGTCACATGTCCGTCCAAGGGAGAGTGCGCACGCACACAGACTGGCAGGGGAGGGGGCAGGAGTAGAGTTTAGGCTCTGGGCACGAGGCACCTGTGGGCAGGGGGCCATGCCACAGCGCCCCCAACACACCCACACGCCCCTCCCACCCCCTGCGTCCAGCAGATTTCCTCTCCGGGTGGAGACCACCGGTGTGCTGCTAGGAGAAAGGCCGCGAGCCTCCCTGCCCAGCAGAGTTGGGGCACCCCCATGGCCAGGCAGGACCCCGGCACGCACAGTGTGTCCCACTGCCTGGCAGTCCCGCTGCTCCCTGTCCCTAGGTAGGCGACGGCCCCATCTCAGTAACCGGCTCTGCCGGGGCCACTGCCCGTCTCCACCGCAGTGTCTTGACCACTCAGGACACACAGTTGGCCGAGGGAGTGTGGAGATGGGTGAGTGTGACTTGCCCCACATCTTTCCGTGCTTCGGGGGCAGTGGTGACAGGGAAGGAGGACCTGGGCCCCGAGGGCCCCACTGCTGGGTGGAAGGACGACACTCCCAGGTCTCCCCACTGCCCGGCTCCACCGCCCTCCCTGTCTTCACCCGTTGCAGGTTCCGTCTCCTCTCTCGTGGTGATTTCTTCAGGATCGATGGCTGATCTTGCCCCACGTGCCCGCTTCCATCAGGAGACACAGGTGGCACAGCAGCAGGTCTGACAGGTGAGTGTGACCTGCTGCCCCCTTGCTTCAGGGCCAGGGAGGACAGTGGCTGCTGGCTGGACAGGAAGGCGCAGTGGGCTGCATCTGAGTGTGACCTAGCCCGGCAGTGACGGCAGCCCGGCTCCGTAGCTCCGTGGGGCTAGGGCAGCCGCCCTGGGCGCCCCTGTCAGGAAGAGGAGGTTGAGCGGACAGGGATGAGCCCAGCAGGGGCACGGGGTTGCGGGGGCAGAGGCAGAGGTGCTGCGGGAGAAGGACGATAGGCCAGCTGGGGAGGGTGGAAGAGGGGATCAAGGTGGATGGAGGTGGGAGGGGCGTCACGGGGGGCGCAGGAGGATGCACGTGGGGAGCATGGAGCCCCAGTGGAAACGGATAAAGAGGCAGCGCAAGGAGGCGGGGAGAAGAAAGGTGAAGACGATGTCGAGGACAGCAGGCAGGAGGCTGGAGGAAGGCAGAGATTGAAAAAGGGAGTGGGGAGAAGATGCTCAAGTGTGGCCGCTGAGGCTGCAGGGAACAGAGCGGGTGGAGGATGCAGGAGGCCGGCCCCTGAGCGTGCGGGAACTGGAGGGCAGGGAGGGACGAGGAAAGCAGGATATTGGGGAAGGAGGGCAGAGGATGAACCAGGGCGGTGCGGAGAGGAGGAGGATGGACGTGAAGGCGGGCACCGTGGGATGGGAGGGAAGGCAGGACACGGAGGGGGCGTGGGAAGGAGAAGAGGAGGAAGGAGTGGAGAGAGGAGGAACAGTGCGGAGGAGGCTGCGGTGAGGGGAGGAAGGGGGCAGAGAGGAGAGGCAGGTGGACGGGGTAGGGTGCAGATGGGCAGAGTCTGAGTAGGAGGCAACTTTGCCAGTCAAGGGATAGCGGCTAAGAGCACCCCGCTCTCTCCTCCGTATTGACCAGCAGCCCCGTAAGGGGCAATTGCTTGCACCCCTGGTTTTGCCCACACCGGGCTCACCTCTGCTGCAGGCCCTCGGCAGTCCTCCAGTCCAGTCCCTCTCGTCGCTTGCTGACCAGCTCTGACACTCGCTGCCCTTGCATTCATTGGCCACCCAGTCACTGGTCAGACAGGTAAGTGTGACCTGCTTTCTGCCCTTGGGAGTGACTCCTGGCTGGGCAGGCTGGGTCTCCTGGTCTGCACGTGAGTCAAGAGGCCGGCTGTGTCCCACAGCTGGCTGTGCATCCTGCCCTGCATGCCAGACTCATGTGCAGCCGGCCGGTGAGGCAGGCAGTCAGGCCCGGTCCTGTGGTCCCTCGGCGGCTGGGCAGTTTCTCTGCACCGTGTCCTGCACGCTCTAGCGGTGCCCCTGGGAGAGTGTTGGGTGGACCTTTCCTCATGTCCCAGGAGGGGCAATTCCGTTTGCTTGCACAGAGAAAACGTGGCCCTCCCGGCCCCACTCTTCTACTTAGAATTGTGTGTCCTCCCGTAAGAGGCAGCGTTCCTGGAGGTGAAGCTGTCACCCAGCCTCCAGACAAGAACCCTTGCCGATCTTACCATGGGTTGTGGACGCCGTCAGGCCTCCTGCGTCCTCCTTTATCAAGAGCAACTGAGCAGCAGCTGCGCCTCCGTGTCCTGTGAAGATGGGATTGGTGTGGCTCCAGGAAGACCTGGGTCTGCCCCTGTGGATTCTGGTCCCTCTCTTCCATCCCACAGTGGGCCATGGTCTGCAGTGGGCGGTCAAGTGTGTACGACTGGTGCTTGGCCTGCCCCCATCATGTTTCCGAAGGATGGGACGGTGGGCCCTGGCCCTCAGGGCAGATGCCCTCAATTCCACAGCTTCATATCTGGCCCCTGAGAAGACAATGCTGGACGGTTTCAGGTGGCTATTGGTCCTGCACATGTCGCCTGGAGACACTGGTTCTGGGTGCCAGGCGTAAGCAGTCGTTGAGGCACACCATGTCATTCAGGGTGTAGTTGTCTGGCAGTGATGGCACAGAAGTTGAGGATGGTGGTGCCTTGTGAGGAGGGGCATGTTTTCTCTTGTCACTTGAAATGTGGGGGCCCAAGGACCAAAGGGATTCCTGGTTTGACTGCAGGAGCCTTAGTGGGCCAGGGCCGACCAGCCCTGGGCCTGCAGGGGAAGCGCAGCTGAGCTGAGCTGAGCTGAGCCTCTGGCCCTTTGTTCCACACCCAGCTGTCATCACATCCAAACACAATGTCTGGGTAGCGTGGTCCTCAAATGAGAGTGTGACAGAGTGCCTGCAAACCCAGCCCAGAAGTCACAGCATCTGGCCCCAGGGTGCCGAGCACTCTGGAAATGCAACTAGGGAGCTGCCCGTGCAACCCTTGCGTGTCTGTTCCCTGAAGAGGCGGCAGGTTCCAGGGGAGGGGAGACCCTGAGACATTGGGCTCATTACTCTCGCAGCACTGGCCATGGTGGACGTGCCCCATCTGCGCTCCAAAGAAATCGAAGACATCCTAGCCTGCTATGATGAGGTGAGGCCCGGTCAGAGAGGGTAGTGGTGGAAACAGGTGGAGCCCAGGCAGGGATGGTAGCACCCAGGAGCAGGTGAGGCCCAGACAGGTGACAGCCAGGTAGGAGCAGGAAATGCCCAGGAGGTAGCAAAGCAGTAGGATCTGGTAGGTGTGAGGTGACCCCACTGAGGCAGGTGGGTGCCACCTGGCCTGCGGGCCCTTGGTAGGGGCTCCTTGGTACCATGTGTAGGGGAGGGAGGAGCCAACCCACTTTCTGCTCCTGCCTTTGGCTCTGGTCTAAACTTCTCCGTGGAACCCTCTCTGATTGCAGGGCCCACGCGCAGGGGCACCAGTGGAACCCGGGCACGACGAAGACCTGTCGCTCTACAGGGCGGTGGACCACCTGGGTTTTCTTCAGTGAGTCCACAGGGTCAATGTCAGGGTGGTTTGTATTGGCAGATGCAGCTCTCAGGAGCCCAAGCCCACCGCTCAAGACCTCCCAACCCAGGGCCCATCAAGCCCCGGGGCAGTGGTGGACTCCTGCGGGGAGACCTTGCTGTCCATCTTGGGCAAGTGGACCGGGACTGACTGGACATGTGGCCAGGCTCTGGGATGTTGGAGGAGTGACATTTCTGCCTTTCAGAGGAGCCACAGCAGTGCCTGCCTCAGCGTCCCAGGAAGGGTCTGGTCTGCAGAGTGGCAGCTCTGCAGAGGGTGGCCATAGAGGGTGGGGGCGCCTGGACAACCCGTCCGGTCAGCCATGGTCTCACCTGGCTCCTAGGCTCAGGGGACCCAGTGTCCCGACCCGCGGGATTCAGAGGCACGAAAAGAGAAGGGCTGAGGATGAAATGAGGGGCTTGAGACAACTTGACGCTAGCGCATGCTTCTTTATTTTTCCTTTTCCTTCTCTTACTTTTCCATGTCTTTCTTTTCCCTGTCTTTCTTACTTCCCTGGCCTTCTCTCTGCTCCTCTCGCAGCACTCTCCTCTCTCGTGGGTCTCCTCTTAAATCTCTTTTCTTCTTCTCTCTCTCTCTCCCGCGTTCTCCTCTTATATCCTGGTAGCTCCTCCTCCCGGACCTCCCAGTCTCATGTGATTTACAGGAAAAACCTGTGGTTTTCCGCAAGCGAAATGGTAAAGCGAAACTCAACTCACGGCACGCATACGCAACACGGCGCATGCTCCGGACGGCTCCGGACAACCCAGTACAACCCTTTGTGGAGACAGGAGCTAGCCGAGTGAGGGCTGTGACCTCGGCTTGAGGAGACAGGCAGAAAAGTGGGGTGTGGCACATGCAGCACAGGGGAGCTGCCCGGCTTGGGGTGGGGATCAAGATGACGTCTCGATCAAGAGGTCAGAGTCCCGAAGCCCTGAGGCCCTTCTCTCGGAACAGGGCCCTGACAGGGCTCTGCAGCCCACTTGGACTGCACAAGCTTGGGTGGGACCCATTTAGAGTGCAGGATGCGCATATCCTCTGGTGAGACAAGGGGACCAGATGGGCCGGGGCAGCAAGGACAGCCAAGAGGGGTGAATGCAGGCTGTAGGAAGATGCAGATGGGCAACAGAGGCCCACCCCGTGAGGGGACACAGGCGGAGGCGTGTCAGGGCACCTGGCTGCACTGGGCTGTGAGGGTTCTGTTGCTTGGCCCCAGGACAGAGGCAGGATGCTTCCAGGGGGTGGCAAAGGGTCCCAGCAGTAGGACCCTCTGCCTACTCTCTGGACTCTTCTCAGGCTCCACAGAGGGTGTACCCTCTGGCCCCACCCTGTGGCTGAGGCTCCCAAGGTCACCTTTGTGCAGGGGCAGGCCCTTCCTCTTGCCCTCTTGGGATGGGACGGGTCCTGGAAAAGCCCTCACTCTCTGCTTCCCTTTCTTCCAGTGAGGAGGAGCTGCCCGGCCTCAGTGCCCAGGAGATCAAGGTGAGAGGCACCCTGTCAGGGCAGTCAGGCAGGGTGCGCCACTGCCTCCCCACCCAGGCCTGTGCCCAGGGCCTGAGCCACAAGCCCCCCTGGCGCCCTGCCACACATGAAGCTCAGGAGTCTCCTCAGGAAGCCACCTGGAGACCAGAACACAGTGGTAGGCCCGGGGTTCAGCACCCAGCTCTGCACCTGGTCCCTTTGGGGCCTGTGCCTGTGGGACCCTGTGCTGCTGAGGGACCTTGTGGGAAGCGTGGCCCACACCACCCTTCCTTGTCTTGCAGCAAAACCTCCGGATGGCTAGGAGGGCAGACAAGTGGGTGCAGATGTTAAAGCACTGGGAGAAGTACAGCCACAGCTCCAAGGTAAACAGCTGAGCCCCATGCCGTTGGGCTTGGGGCTAAAAGGCAATCCTCAGCCGCCCTGCCCACCCCCGCAGGGCCGCCTGCCTGGACAGGATCCCGGGCCAGAGCAGATACCAGCCTGGTCTTCACTATGGGCCAGGGAGCCCAGGTCAGGGCACACCCAAGCTCTCCCAAAGCCCCCGGCATGAGAGTGCGAGGCGGTGCCCCTCGGAGGCCGCATGGTGCCCTCTCGTACCCACAGCTGCCTGGGCCCCAGAGTTGTCTTCTCTCCCCTAGATGAGGTGCCGGGTCTACAAGGGGATTCCCCCACAAGTGCGGGGCCGTGTTTGGGCTCTCCTGCTGGGTGTGGACCAGGCCATGCTGGAGAACAAGGGAGAGTATGAGGTACAGCCCCATGTGCTCGGGCAGAAGCAGGCTCACTGCACGGAATTTGCAATAAGGGGGCACGTGAACTCGGGGCCTTCTGGCGCTAACCCCTCACTTCAGACAGGCCCCGGTCCCTCTTGCCTAAGGGACCTGGCGCCTCTCTGTACCACTTGGAAAGACTAGTCACCTGTCAATGGGTTCCACAAAACCAGTGGTAGCGATGAGACTTACCCCTCGGCCACCAGAGAGGCCCCCATTTCTGAAACTTTGTAAGAGAAAGCAGACATCCCTCGAAATGCTCGTCACGTCTCTTCAAATCAGCCAGAACAAAACAGTGAAGCGCTCTGCCATCTGTGACTCAGACAGTTTGCAGTTTTCAGGGGTAGGATCCAGAAGACATTTCCAAGGAAAGGTTCCACAGACGCAAGCAAAGACATACAATTTTCTTCATTGGCAGGTGACAAGATTCTAGACTTCCCAAAGGCAAAGCTTTCTCAAAAACACGAAACCTGCCCATTATAAACTGTCTAGAAAAGGGGCTGTGTTCAAGAGAACAGGCCAAGGTGGAAAGCTGTCTTGTAGAAGAGCAAAACTGCTTTCCAATGGGAACCCTTTACTGTGGCAAAGGATGGAGCCCTGAGCATCCCAAAGAGGCGTGGCAGGGCCCTCAAGAGACTCTGGAGAGCCTTCAGCATCTGGGGAATGAATAGTAGCCTCGGCAGTGCTGCCATTGCCGGGGACCCGAGTCAGGCTGCTGCCAGATGCAGTCTGGTTTGAAAAGCGAGCAGGCCAGTGAGGAAAGCAGGTGAAGAGTGACCTGCCGTAAGGACGGCTTGGGATGGGCGGTGTCCTGGAGCTCACAGGCCAGGCCTCAGGTCGAAGGGCTCCTGCAACAGGTGTGGACCTGGGGCCTAGAAGGAGTGGAGGGCTTAGCATCACCACAGGCCGGACGACACAAAGGATTGGGCCATGTGCTGCCCTCCCTGGCCTCAAGCAAGACCGCGGAAGGATGGTGGGGTGCAGGCATGAACTTGTGTTACTCAGATGCCTCTGGCTTCACCCACAGCAGCTGATGGCGCTGGGCAAGGTGTTGTCACCATCCATCGCAGAAATTGATGAAGATGTGAGTGTCACCTGCCGGGACCACATCTTCTTCAAAACCAGATACAGCACCAAGTAAGGCTGCTGGGCCTCAGGGCCAGGGGCTAGGGCCCGAGTGTAGATGGGGTCCTGTGGAAATTGTGGTGGGATTTGAGGCTGGCAGCCCTCACATGATCGGGGATTACTCAAGGAGACAGAGGGTAACTTGGAAGGCCCTGGGTGTTCCAGCACCTCAGGAGGACTGGGGGCACGTTTGCCTCTGAAACAGCTTGCTGGTCTCAGGAGGGCCTGGGAAGGTAGGCGGGGTCCCATGAAACTGGGGCATATTCAGGGGTCTCAGGGCACCGTAGACTCCAAGGGGTTCTAGCAGATTTCAGGAGTCCTGGCAGGTTTTCCAGATCCCAGCAGGATGGGCGGAGGCCTCAGGGACTCAGAGGAGAGGGCAGTGCTGGCAGCACAGGGTATGTTGAGGAGGAAGGGGCTGGAGGCGGGAGGGCCAGCCCTACTGCTTGGTGAAGATCCCTGGAGCCATCCAGCCAGACATGAACTTTAACATGTGTGAAGTGAGCAACGGCAGAAAAACATGCCCGCTAGACCCGCACGGCAGATAATAGCAGGTGCCAGATGCCCTGAGATGGCCCTGCTTGTCCGGCTGGTGGATTCACTAGGACAGGCAGAGGCCAGGTAGGGCAGACCAAGGAGCTGGGGAACCAGCAGGAACCCTTCTTGTCGCCCTCTTAGGCAGCAGGCCCTCTTCAACGTCCTTGTGACTTTTTCAATTTATAATCCGGTGAGTACCCCACCCAGCCCCTCCTCGGGTGTCCTCACTGTCCTCCTCACCCTCACGTCCTCCTCACCCCACGGATGTGCTGTGGGACTCAGGCCAAGAGCCAGAGATGACCACCGCAGGGTCTGGAGTCCAACATTCTGCAGCAGGCTACCCCTGCACCCTGACAACCCCTTTGTAGAACTGGAAAGGGCACCTCACTCCCCTGGTGCCTGTGCTGGGTCAGGGTCTCTACGTGCACACCAATGTCCCCCTGAACCTGCACAACCAGTCCCTGGCATGCTAAGGTCCGAGATGCCGGGCAGGCACCTCGAGTCTTTGGCTCTTGCGGGAGGTGGGCCACCGCTGGCACCTGAGCCCCATCGTGGCGCTGCTGCTGCTATATATGGAGGAGGAGGCATTTTGGGCTCTGGATGAATTAATGACAGATGACTCTCACGCCATGCATGGTGGGTGGTAGTTAGGACACAGGTGAGCATAGCACCCAGCAGTTGCCCTGGCTGAGGTCCCCACTCCATCCACTCCCATCAGGGAAGGGCACTTCCACCCTCATGATTCCCTGTGGGTCTTGCACCCAGCGTTGCTGCCGCACTTCCTTGTGCAAACATGTCTCACTGCCCTGCATGAGAATTCTGCCTCGTGTCTAGCCCACCGGCCAAGCCCCAGGACCCAGGACCAGATAGTGCACACAGCCCCCCTTCCTAGGTGCCATCAACTGCCCCCAAGTTCAGCGAATGGACACTCTCCCACCCGGGGCTCTCAGTGCCAATGTCACCAGGGTGGGAAGGGCAAGGCTTGGGTCTTCTGAACCTCTGGCTACCTGAACCTCATGTTGGAGCACCAGACAATTTGGGCAACCAGGGGGTGGCGGTGGGGCCTAAGGGGGTCTGCTCACTACCGCCATCAGCACAGGTATCGAGGCCAGGCCTGCCCTCTGGGAATCACAGGCCACCTAGTGCTGGGATTGCTGTGGTCATCTGATGGGTGGGTGTGGGGAAGAGGGCTCAGGAGTGGGGCCTGCCAGTGTACCACCCCTACCTCGCTGGAGCAGGCTCTGAATTCGGGGACCTGGGTCCTTCCAGGATTCTTCAGCACAGGGTGTCCCAAACTGGGTCGGTTCCTGGAGCATCATGATGAAACCATCAGTCAGTTGCTCCCCAGGTTGAAGCATCACATGGTGAGTACACGATGCCGGCCCAGACCAAGAGCAGGTGACTCCACTGTCCTAGTGGTGGGCAAATGGATAGGGAGGGCACCCTCGGCTACCAGTTCACAGCTGAGTTCCCATGAGTGGGGGGATTTGTGGCTCCCTGGGGGGGCCCTGAACACCCTATGCCCTTGACTTAGCACCAGGAACGGCTGCTCATTCGAGCCCATGTGACCCAGTGGTTCCTGGAGTGCTTTCTGCACCGGGTAAGGTGGTGGCCCGCCTGAGGGTAGCTGGGCCGGGGTCCATCGGCAAGACCTGAGCTAGAATGGCCAGCTCAGCCGGTGCATGCACTTGTCCTTAGACATACAGCCTTGGGCTGCTCCTTTGAAACAGATCCCCCCTGGGTGGCGGTCCAGACTGGCCCCTACAGCAGATGTGCTGTTGGGCCTCTTCACCTCTCCTAGTTGGCGGGGACCCCAATCCTGGAGCCCTTTCCCCACAGGGTGGGCCTGCCCAGATGAGGAAATGCAGGCCTTTGACACAGCCTGGGAGGTGGGTCAGGACCGCAGAGACACATGGCGTTTCCTGAGGTGTGGGGTCCCCAGTGTGTCCTGCTCAAGTGGCCCCTCGGCACTCTTGTCCCCACAGACACCCTTTCTGCTCACCCTGAGGATCTGGGATGCCTTCATCCTCGATGGTGAGCGGTGCTGACCGGCATGGCCTATACCATGCTCAAGGTGCACGAGAGTAAGTGCCGGTGCTGGGGCCCTGTCCGCTATGTGGGCTGCACACAAGAGCGTGTGTGTGTGCACCAGGATGGGGACCTTGACAGGGCCCTGCAGGGCATGGCATGAATAAGGGGCCCTCCCTTCCCATGTGGACTAAACTGCAAGGAGTTTAGAAGGGGCATCCTGAGCAGAGCAGAAAACGCGGGGGCCCTGGCTGTGCCTGAGGGATGGGGATGAGGTGGGACTGAGCACCCTCATGACTGACATGTTCCCTGCCTAGAGTGGCTGCTCAGGCTGTCTGGTCAGGGCATGCAAGTATTTTTGTACCACACCCTGGCCCAGCCCTGGAGCCTACCAGATGACCGTGTCGTCAGCCACCTCCAGGCCTCCATGGCCCATTTGCGGAGGCATGGCTTGGACATCCCCCCACCAGGTAGGCTCAAGCCAGTTCCCTCTGGTGCATCCTTGTGGGGCAGGGAAAAATAAGAAGAGTTCCCAGGCCCTGCCTGACCCTTCCACCTTCCCTTCTCCTCTCTGTGGAGCTTCAGGGGGCAAGACCAGGCTGGGCCTCGTTAGCTGGACATCAGAGCCCGAAAGTGGCCATGCAGAAGCCCCCTGGACTCCAGGATCCCAGCCCATGGGTCTTGCCGGGGTGGGTGCATGGGCTGGAGCACAAGCTGACTCAGTGTGCTCTGTCAGCAGTTCCTGTGATGCCCGTGCAGCCAACAACGTCTGAAGAGCCCAAGGACGCAGGCCTCTGCCCTGAGCTACGTCTCTGGAGCTCTGAACCTTCCCTGCCCATCACCCCTGAGGTGGCCAACAGATGCCCAGAGACTGTGCCCTTCAATGCTCTCCTCAGTGGCTCCTACCCATGTGCTCTGGCCTGGCTCATAGCACGACCCCAACCCCGCCCAACTGCTGGGGCCCTGAAGTCCTGGTGAACCCAGTCTGCTGGGCAGCAGGCTGCTAGGCCCAGGTTACCACTGCTTCCCCATGGTGCCCAGATTCCACGCCTCCCCCAGGGCAGGGACCCTCTCCCAATGGAGGCAACCAATGTATTACGAAGATACAGGTCTTAGGTGGGCCTGGACACATGGCCCTCACACCTGCCACCTAGAGCCGCCTCAGTCAGCTGAGGGGGCCTAGCCTGGGAGGCGGCAGCCACTCTCACTCTAGGCCTCCAATAAACTTTTGGGCTCAACATACGAGACTGGTGTCTCCTCAGTGCCCTGATGCTCTGCAGCAGGAGGGGAGGCAGTCTTGTGTCTGGTCAGCAGCACACACTTGTCCTCCCCAGCCAGAAGCCACCATCAAGCCAACCCAGTCCCTGAGCCTGAGGTTCATCCTGGCCCTGTTCTCACTGAGCCAGGATGGCCTCAGGCAGATCAAATCGGAGTACAGTTGGTGCGGGCCACGAAGGTATGTAAAAAGCCAGCTGGTAGAACAGAGGCCTGGCCAACGACAGGGCACGTTCCATAATTTCCGCCCCCCTGTTGAGAGGTGGATCTGAGTGGTCAGGTGAGGATACACAACACTGAAAGCCAGGAATGTACACCAGAGGGACTTGGGGAGGACAAGGACTTGCTACCTTCTCCACTCTGGCCTCACCCAGGGGGACATGGAGGATACTTGGAGATAAGCAGGAAGAGACACTTTGGAGAGACACAGGCTGAGAGACACGTGGGGAGGCTGACACTGCAGCTTTCATTTGGGACTTGGTTGGGCCACTCGGGTGCCAGATTTTCCTGGCCCTTTACCCCCTTTCTGGGGATCGCAGTCTGAAGGTGCCTCAAACTTGTGGCAGGTTTTCAGGCCTCAGCACCACTGCTTTGGGGCAACCCTGTTTGGCTGGGCTTTGATCCATGAGGGGACGGGTGACTTTGGGTATTATCTGGGGAAACAACTCTCCTCCTCTGCGCCCTCGGTGCACAGGACTCCAGTAATGTCCTTTCCCCTCACTATGGTCCCCTTTGTGTGCGCCAGTCAGCAGACCCCAGGAGAGCATGCGAGTTTGGGTTTCCTGGGGTACACCTCAGGGCCCCTAACAGTAGAAGTCGGGGTGGTCCTATCAGACCCCTGGACATGGCTGGGCTTCCAGGGCCCTTCCTTTCCTGCCCTTGTGCTGGCTCAGTCCAAGCAGCACTCGGACCAGCAGAGATGCAGCATGGCCCGGGGGCTGCTGTCAGGACAGAAGGAAGCTGTAGCTCCTGCAAGCTGGGCTGCCCCTGGCCAGCGAGCGCCCTTGGCGTACTTTTCGCTGCTCCTCTCCTTGATGGGTGTAAAAGTCCTCGTCCAAGCGTGAGAGCTCTGAGCACAACTCCCTTGTGAGCTTCTGTCCTTCGGTCTCACCACACACTGAAGAGTCCGGGTTGAACTACCGAGGGGAGCTCTGGGGACATAGGGCAGAGACCCCAGCGTGAGAGCGAAAGCCTGGTTTGGGCAGCTGCTACAGGCATGTCAGTGCCCCCACCGCCCTCCGGAGCTGTGTTGGCCCAGAAGCAAGCACTGGCTCCCCTGATATCCTGCTGTCCTGGAAGACTTAGAGCTCTTGCAGCCCCACGGCCTCTGCTCAGCCTCTAGGTGGTGGTGTAGTGAGTGCTGCTTCCTGGAAAGTGGAGAGCAGCAGATCATGTCTCCATGTAGCTGTGGGGTGGGAACACCCCTGGGGCCCTTTATCTGGGTCTCCGTGAGGTGGATGCTGTGAGTGAAGGCTTGCCTGTGCCTCCATGGTGTACCCAGCCAGGTCCCACTTATCCCCGACAGCATCATTGAGCACCCAATGGGAGTCCACCCACTTGATGTGCTCGTTGCAAGGAGGAAAGTGTGAGCAGGCTGCATGGTCCCACTACATCCAGGGCACTCAGAAGACTTCCAGGGACACCCCCGGCTTGGCCACCCCTGCCCTGCCCACACGGATGTCCTGAAACTCTTGTTTCTGCTGACAGAAACAGAGCAGGAAGCCCTCACTAGTGTGTGTGTCCTGCTCAAGCCTGGCGCTGTCGCCTACTGTTCTCCTTGTCCAGGGTGTCCAGTAAGCACGTGTCCCGTCCATCAGCACATGATTCCTTAGGCGACCTACAGAGCACACTTCCAGGGAACCCACCCTCCCGGGACTGTCAGACCTGCATGGATCCCCCTCCTCTGGAGGCCGCAGCAGACAGCCCCCCACATCTCAATTCCAGGCAGGGCCCAGGAGCCACCACCCGCCTGGCCCTGTGGAAACTTGCTGGGCTGCTGGGCCTGGGCAGTTCACCCACTCACCTCCGGGAGGCTCTCACTGTCCTCTAATGGTTGTGGACAAGCAGGGTGATCGGGTTCTCCCCTCCACATGCCTCCTGTGCTCAGTAGCACCAGCAGCTATTCAGTCATGGCACTTCAGGGGCAGAGTCCCAGCCACCAGGTTTTTTTCTTGGCCCAGCTGTCGAGGAGGCAGTCCCTGTCCTGTGGGGTCAGCTGGGGCAGGGGTGGCAGCACTCTGGGGCCCCCAATGCAGGCACCTATGCGCTGGGTGCCCAGAGCATGTGCTGCGGGTGACTGTGTGGCGCTCTGCAATGCTCAGCCCAGGTTGCATCACCTGGTGTCCCTTGTTGCAGTGTGGGGCAGGCTGTGCCCTCACAGTGAGTTATGCTGTCTCCTCCCAGCCTGTAGCCTTTCCCTCACTGTGCCTGCCCAGGCAGACATGCAGGTAAAAGGGGTGGCCTCCAGAATGGTGTCTCACCCCCTCACAACGGCCCCTCCAGTCCTGGGGTGGGAAAAGCTTCCCACACTTGCACTTAGTGTCTGTGAGGGAGGCAGGACTGAGCCCACAAATGCAGGGCTGCCATCTGAGCAGCTCCCGCCCACACACCCCCAGTAGAACTTGCTGGGTGAGCTGGTGTCACCAGCGATATGCGCTGACCAGAACCGCCTCCTCACACAGTCCGTGTGACACCCCACGCCTCTCACCCTCATCCCCTCAGTTGCCGTCACAGTCCAGCCTCGCCACTCAAGTCCCCCTGTCCCTTCACCTCCCCAGCCTCCCAGGTGCCCACCTATCACCCTGTGCCCTCATTTCTTCCCAGGTCTCCTCCCTCCCCTCACAACACTCACATCCCTCCAATCCCCATCCCCTCACATCCACAATCCTCTCACACATCCCAGCACATCCTCACGTCCCTGCACATCCTCAGAGAGAAAGACACATTCAGAGCCAGAGACACACACAGAGATGCATTGTGACTCCCAAGGATTTCAAATTCCCATGTGTTCTCTCTGATCCCCAAGTATTGAGAGTTTGGTTTCATTTCCCAAAGTTCAGGCTTCGGAACCTGTCCACAAGGACAGCCCGAGCACCCATCTCCCAGCTAGGCATTTTCTGCACCATACCCTTGACCAGGCAGCCCATCGTCTAGTCAGGGCTACACTTCTGATTTTCAAAGCCATGCCAGGTGTCTTGGTTGGGCAGTTTGCTTTTCACATATGAGAACACGCACATTTGTTCTCTAACTCCCTATGTCACTCACGTAGGGCCATGCAGCAGGGTGCCTCAAGGTTCCACAGCCTCGTGGCCCATGACCATGAACCCAACATCATGACGACCTGCAGAGTCTCCACAGACCAGACATGGGCTGGCCGAGGCCACCACCCATTCCGAGCCCCTGGGCTGGGAAGGGGCCTTCCAGAAGAGTGTCACATTTACTTACTAATTGGACAGCAGAGCAGGACTGCTCTCTTCACACATAGAGATCTCGCGGCGAGGGAAAGACTATAGGCTGGGAGGAGACAGTGTAACTCACTGTGAGAGCACAGCCTGCGCCACAGTCCAACAAGGGACACCAGGTGATGCCACCTGGGCTGAGCATTGCTGAGAACTACAGTCACCCACGACTCGAGCTCTGGGCTCCTGAGCATCGGTGACTGTGGGGGGGGACCCAGAGTACACTCAGCCTGCAAAGGCTGACCCGTGGGGCCTCTAGTTGCTCTCAGCAGGAGGCCACAAGTGGCCACAGTGAAAGACACCAGCTCGGTGGCTTGTTGAGGGCTAGCACCGAGCATAGGGCTCACTTAGACTCTTTCATGCTGCACTGGTAGACAATTCCAGGTTGAGCCCAGAGTTCAGGCCGGGTCAGGAGTGAGGACACCTGACACTCCGCTCCATCTTTTCTCAGCCTCTGCCTGGGCTCACAAAGAGACTGCCAACGCAGGCACCTGTCTGGCTCCATTCTTCATACCTTTGGTGAGCACAGAACCTTCCAGTGCACCATGTGAGGCCAAAGTGCACCTAGTAGTGCTCAGTCCCGTAAATCCAAAGCACAAGGCGCCCTTGTAAATACAGCAGCCATGCTGTTCCTGCGTCTCGTCTCCAGGTCGCTGGGCCTACATGCACTAGCAGACATGTGAGCGTTCAGTCCTTGACCCCCTGCCCTGAGAAGATGGTCCCCTTTCCACTTGGGGCCTCCTACCACGTGCGTCCTCTGCAGCGTGGAACAATGGCTGCTGTTTTCCTGAAGCAGAAAGAACTCGTGCTCGTGACTTTTGTCCCCTGTTGGCTTCCACTCTGTAGGGGAAATTGGTTTTCAGGCTTTTCTGCCCTCCTATCATTAGGATTGCCCCTCCTGATGGGGCACCTGCACTTGTCCATTGTTGTAAGCTGTCAGGTTTACTTCTGAGGGCCGTGGGAGGACTACTGATAGGCACCAAGTGAAGCAGAAGCAGAAGAGAGGCAGGAGAGAGAAGGGGAGAAAGAAAGCCAGAAGAGAGAGAGAGAAGCCCAGAGTGAAGACTTGCAGGGGCTTGGAGGCCTGCAGGCCTCAGGGCCCCCTGGCACCCCTACCTGCCATGAACCTGGTTGCTGCACTACATGTAAAATCTCAATAAAAGCCAGAGAAAGCCACCGAGGGCTCCAGGACTCTCCTTTACTTGGTCTGCTCGGATCATAGAAACCTGCTCTGTGCCCTTCCTGCCACTACACGCTCACATCCACTCCTTTCCTCCTGGGACTGCATTCTTCCCTCACGGCATGATTTTGCTAAGTTTAGCCCAATGGCACCACAATGTGGACGTTCTGGTATTTCAATGAGCGTAAGTGGTTGCCTTCATTCCCCCCACCTGTGTTTCGGTGGCCCCAGCGCTGGCAGGGGGCCATCAGGGTTGGCTAGGGACAGAACTCTGACACACCCCTGTGAATTCAACCCTGAGCTGCATCTCTGTGCGCCTGAGGC